AAGTTCATTATTTGCCCAAGTGCTTGGACATTCCTTTCTTGAGTGTGTTTTAGTCCTAGCAGAACTCTCAGTGCTAAGGGGTCAAAAGCTGTATTTCAAATGACGTCAATTCCTGATTTAACGTTTTTTTTAGGCAGATAGAAACTAATGGATAGATAAAGCCATCAGGCATTATAGAAATAGCTAATTGAAATGTGCCCCTTTATTATCCCAATTACTTTAAAAAGAAAGAGAAAAACAACAGAACCTATGAGAGTCCGGACCAAAACCCCAACTCCCTACGGTCAAGTCCATTCTGACTCCCGGTGACCTCACAGGGCCGGCTCTTATCGCCCCAGTGGGTTTCCGTGACGATAACGCTTTAACAGGAATAGGAAGCCTCGACTTTCTCCTGTTTGTGAGGTACGTACAAAAAAATAGGAGCTTCCATCCCCGAACTATTCAGGCCACCATTTCCATTCTAGTCTGTGTTCAGCCCAGGATGACGGAGGCCGCTGCAGGCAACCTTTAGCTCTCTGGGGAAATAAGACGCAGATCATGTAGGCCGGTGACCCTAGAAGGAGACTGGCCAACTTGCGAAGGGGCCGTTCTTCTCCACCGTACTTCTTAAGCCCTGATGTGTACACGAGTCACCTAGGGATCTTGTTAACCTACATACTGGGAGTCAGTGGGTCTGAGAGGAGACCTAGTATTCTAACAAGCTCCCAGGAGACAGCTGGCTTCCTTGTGGAGGACGCACCTTTCAGCAGTGGTTCTCAGCCTTCCTAATGCCGTGACCCTTGAATACAGTTTCTCATGTTGTGATGACCCCCCCCCCCCGCCCCCACCATAAAATTATTTTTGTTGTTACTCCATAACTGTAACTTTTCTAATGTTATGAATCGGGGGACCCCTGCGAAAGGGTCGTTCGACCCCCAGCTTGAGAACCGCTGCCTTTGAGCATCATGGGCTTAGAACATTACAAACAGGAGTCTGCAATGAAAACCCACAGATCTTGGCTCCAGTCTCAGACTCGTTTCAAAAACACAGCCCACGGATTCACATTTCTACCCAGTTCCCAGACGATGCTAATCCTGCTGGCCTCTGGACTATACTTCAGGTAGAAAAATCTCCAGTTAACCTTTGAGCAGAGTCTGCCTCCATCTCCAGTGGCCGCCGCCTCTCTGGAAATAACGAACCAAGCACTCAAAGATTTAAGAGGCTATAACTGAGTTGTTCCCTCACAGAAATCGAATACCAAATCCTTTAAACAGGCCTCTCTGACTACCGATGAACATAGGCACCTGGAGCAAAATCTAGAGATTGGATGCTGTGAATGGTGCCGACTGGTTAACAATGGAGCTAGTTACTTTGAATAGCCAATTCATATATGTGTGGGAAAATGCTAGGTAAAAATACACGTCTTTACATTCTATTTATACATAGTAGAGTGTCCTGGGGTGAGCTCTTCGCATGAAGATGGGATTTGTGAGACTCTTGATTCTGTCTCACACTTTTTTGCTTCACTTATTTTTGTAAGGGTCATTTTCATATGGTTTGTTAACATGGGGAAAGAAACTTTTTAAAGGGGAAAAAGTAAACTACTCAGTATAAATCCAAATGTTTTGGGTTTAGGATTATTAGAGAAAACATGTTTTGAAGTTTTTGTTCTTGTGTTTTGCTTTTTAATGGGAAAAGGAACCTGAGGTTTTAGAGACCAAGGAGATAGATGAGGGCCAGCCCACCATCTCCCTGGACATATTCTGCAGGATGAAAACGTGTCCAAGGGGACCTGGTAAGAAATCAAAACTGGAGAATTAGTGGCAGCTCCTGCTCCCCCCCTCCTGTGTCCCTTAAAGGACCTGTTTTGTTTTTTTTCTTTTATTCTTTTTCGGAAGACTGAAATACGTGTTAGGCTACTTTAGGCACGATGCGAGAAGCTCTAAAACGAGAGAACAACAGGAGCCATTGGGAGAGAGTCTGGGAAAGGAGCCGTTGGGGGCCCCCAGAGCAGCTTGCAGTTGCAGTTCAGTTTCTCCGTCATCCAGGCTGCCCCGGTGCCGCGAGCCCCAGCACCAGACAGAGGTGACTGTGTGGGTGGATCGTGGCATAGTGGTCACACATTGGGCTGTGACCCGCAAGGTTGGCAGGTTGAAACCACCGGCCACTCCCTGGGAGAAAGACAGGACTTCCCACGTCGGCTAAGAGTTACAGCTCAGAGGAGCAGTTCTGCCCTGCCCTCCAGGGTCGCTGTGAATCCGCATCGAATTGACGGCAGTGAGTGTGGTTTGGTGTATGGATCAGAGCATAAGATTGTCACCATCAGCAACCCTTCCAAAAGTCTGCAAGTCCCAGGGCTCAAAGGTGCACCTCCTGGGACATCATGGCTGTCCTTTTTCCAGCCATTCAAAGAATGATGGCGCGGGGCAAGGGTGGGGGGGTGGGGGGCCCACCTATCGCAGTCACATTTCTCGCTGCTGTTGATCGGGAAAGCGTTTAAAGAAGTTGGGCATCCAGTTCATTCCTGGCATAACTTTCCGATGAAACTTCAGGATTATACTGACACCTGCTGGCGTTGCATCTATTTCATGTGTTTTCTGAAAGAGGCAAAACACAAGAGAAGCACCTAACATTGTACAGTGTCCGTCTGATTTCATACGAAGCATGCTGCATGGGAAAGCTAACACAGGTGGAGGGAGATCCACCGGGACTTGCACACATCGCCCATCGTGGAGGGAGAGGTGGGAAACAGCCCAGACAAGAAGGACAGACCTCAGCATTCTTGCTCCTCTCCCCTGGTCAAATGCTCTGCGACCTTGATCAAGGTCTCTGACCTCACGTTCGTCATCTCAGTGCCCTTTGGGGCTTAAGGGAATTCCAGTGGCTTTTCCTACTAACGAAACACGGCTACTGTGCCAACGTGATTATCTCAGAGGTCATTTCCAGTGACCCTTCTGTCAGCATCAACTTGGCCCTTCACCACCAGCGCTGGCTTTTTGAAAGATGGATGAAAGTCACTCAATCATACTCAAAGCCCAGCATTGCCGAAATCTAAACGTACAAACCGCTAAATGAGGATGATTAGAAGCCTGTAAACGGTTCCCAAACATGTCCACTTGTGCCCTAGGAAACCAGGGACCCAGCTTTGTGCTGGGGAACAGGTCACCGTTCTTCAGGTTGAGAAAATGCTTCCCAGTTAATGCCACCCAAATGATGTGTGCTTTTCTGTCTGCTCTGGAGAAGCTGTGTAGGTCTGTGACTTGCTAGGTCTGTAACAGGATATGTGATAGTCCCCCAAGAATTCACATCCATATTTAGCCTGGCAGAGGAAGTGAGGTCTGACAGTGAAAAATAATCGGGGCATTTCTCTAAATGCTACTTGATCAGTTCTTCCGCCTCCGTCAGCATCCTGACGTAAACAACAGGCTAGCGGAGGCATCTGAGGCATTTTCACGTCCCCCGAAAAGAAATTCACTTCTTATAGCCTCAGTTTCTCCTTGGGAAGCTTTTCGATATGATCAGGGCACCAAGAGGAATATGAAAACACTGTTAGAATTCAGTCATCATCTGGGCCTTCTGAGGACTGACTCTTGGCCTGGCAGTTACACCTGTGAAGCCTGGTGGCGATATGTAGTGCTGTTCAGTTGGACTTCTGGAAGGATGGAAATGTTCTTCCTCTGTACTGTGCCTGTGAAGGGTCCCTGGTGGTGTAGTGGTTACACTTTGGGCTTCAATCCGCATGGTCACCAGTTCGAAACCACCAGCAGCTCTGTGGGAGAAAGACTGGACTTTCTACTCCCACTAAGAGCTACAGTGTCGAAAACCTCCAGGGAGGGGCTTGCTCTGACTCAGCATTGACTCGATGGCAGTGAGAGCTATGTAAGAGGAGACCTGGTGGCATCGTGGGTTACACGGTGGGCTGTTAGGCACAAAGTCGGCAGTTCGAATCTCTTAGCGACTCTGTAGAAGGAAGATGAGACTGTCATGTCCTGTAAAGATGTGCAGCCTCGGGAACTGCAAGGAGCAGTTCTGCTCTCTCCTAAGAGTCCACTGTAGCTTGGAATCAGCTTGACGGTAGAGGGTTAGGCACATGTGGCTACTGAGCACTTGAATTCGTACAGCACTGAAATACTTTAAATTGTCTTTAACTTGAACATAAAGAGCCGCATGGAGCCATGGCTGCTGTAGTGGAGGTTCTGCTAGCTAGTGTCCCTTCCTCAGCGCACATGCCCCAGGCGCAGCCTACGAAGGGAAAGTACTGGCTTATTTGTCGGATGCAGCTCTGTTGAACCCACTGTCTCAATTTGCTACTAAGCATTTTGCCAAGGGTGTGATTATTTTAGCAACTAGATGGCATTCTTTATTTCTTTTTCTTTTTTTTTTAACTCAAGGGCAGAGTTGGTCTTAACATTATAAACCAGATTTTTCAAGTAAAATGCCCTTTGGAGATCCAATTCCTTTCCTGGCCTGCACAGTCTTCTCTCAGAGGCCCAAGTCCTTATTCAGACATGATATGTGCACTGTGCTGTTTGCTAGAGGGACCCTGGGCAGTCAAGGCCTATTTGACTTTTTATGGCTTTGCTGAAAAACTCAGGCAGGTGAGCTATGTAACCATCTCATAGATTGAAACAGGCAATTCATAGTCTAAAATGGGAATGGTTAAGTGTGTCATCCCTTGTTGTATACTGTTGCTTAGAAATCATGAAGGTTGCCAGCAACGTCAAAAAGGCTTGCATTGAAACAGGCTGCAAATAGAAAGCTTCACACATCAATCCGAGAGCAGCATTCCTTTGTGGTCACCCAGGGTTTCATGACACTATAGACGCCACATTTATCTTTAATGGGGGAACAAACAAACTGCTTAGTGACAAATAAAATAGGGGCATGCAAAATGTGGTGGCATAAAATAAGTGTTTACATTTTTATCCCCCCCCCCCAAATAGATAAAGTCTGTCAAACCAAAGCCCCCATCTTTGGCTCCTGCAGATTGGCTCACCAAGAACTTATCCTTTCTCTTTCAGCAATGGGTAGAAGGCCTGCGATCAATCATACACAACTTCAGGGCCAACAATGTTAGTCCCATGACGTGCCTCAAGAAACAGTGAGTTTTATTTGCATTGCCTTGTGTTCTTGGCTGGTATCAAGCAAAGGGTCAGATGAAGGAGAAGCAGTCCAAGTGTGTGATGAGGCAAGCTCCCTGCTGACCTTTCCCTCCCTGCCCCTGACCGTGGAGAAAGAGTGGATCATGGCACACTTCCTTTCACCAGGACATCCGGGCAGGGCATGCATGCTGAAACCAACGCCCAAGACCTACATGAAAGGATCTGCTGATGAGAAATGATGCTAGAAATCTACCCACCCAAGCTCTTTGGGACTTTTAGGACCCAAGCCTAGAGGTTCTGAACCATATCTCTACATGCGTAAGGCTATCACTAGGCGATGCCGGAACTCAGGCTTTCACCGCGTGATACTGCCCTTTCCGAAGTTCTTATTGGTAGGAGATAGAGAAAGAGGCACTAACCAGGTAGTGTGCTCCATGCTTAGCTGCCATCAGGAATCCAGAGGTACTTTGAAATTCAAAAGGCAAGCCTTATCCCAGCTTAGCTCAGGATCCAAAATCCAGCGATGTCCTCCTACAACAGATTGTTAAGCCCACTCAAGTTGTTTTACTTTCACAATGACATGAAAGTGATCCTAATAGCTCTAGCTCCTAGCCAAAGCTGAAAGTCTGTCACTGCGTTTCAGAAGCAATGATCAGTGAGAAGTGGAGCTGTCCATTAGCACAGGCTCTTGCAGGCAGCTATGAGATACTGAGGGTCACAACACTGGGAAATTGCAGGGATAAGCGCGAATCACTCAAAGCCAGGCCCAGAACCAAGAATGAAATTCATTGTACTTACTAAGCAATGGGCTCCTTCAGGCTCCTTCATTCCTTACCTCCAGTCACCTTGGCAGATGCTCAAGAGCATGAACTCTGAGCTATAAATCCCAGCCTTGCCTCGTAGTTACTGGCCAGCCCTCAGAATGTTCTGAGCCTTGCACCTCACTGTCCTCTTTTGGGAATGGAGTTGATGAAAGTTTCCCGTCATAACAAAGCTATCATGCAGACCCGCTGTGCGCAGCTTGCCCCCTCCCCCATCCATAATTCTTCATTTAGCGTTTGCTAGTTTGATTTTTAGGGTGTCCTTGTAATTTCCTGCCGCTCCTGTTAGTAGTGGAAAGTTCATGTAAAGTGCTAGATGGTACAGTTTGTTGTAGAGCGTGTCCTTTTCTGCTATACTTACTGTGGGACATTTTCTTTTAAAAAGAAAGAAAAGAAACAGATTAGATTGATAGAAACCCAGGAGATGTTTTGACCTTCTGACTCCGGGTACTAATAGAGTCCCATCATGCAGAATGCCCAGTCATACTGGAGTTGGTATCGGATAACCAGATCTTATCTGCATTCCTTGCCCACTTGTGGAAGAGTGGCTATGCACTCCGCTGGGTTCTTAATGATGGACTTTTCAGAAGCAAATTGCCAGACTTTTCTTCTGAAGCTTCTCTGGGTGGGCTCCAACCTCCAACCTTCTGATTAGCAGCCCAAGTGTGCTAACTCTTTGCACCCTCAGGGATTCCTTCTGGAGTTCACAGTCACGCCCTCCTCCCTTTATCCCCTGCAACTGCTGTGAAGGTCAGCCCAGCAAGGGTGACTGCTTCTGTAGAGAATCACTTTTGCGACAAGGGAACCACTGTGCATAGAAGACTATACTAAGACTGGCTGAACCGAGTGAGAGAGAACCCCCTTGCCTCAAGGCAAGACCAACGCTGGTATAAATTCGATCCGAGAGAGCCTGGGTCTAGAGGCTACAGGGTCCAGAGAGACAGCAGTTTTGCTGAGCTGTTTGTCTTGTCTTGTCGGCTTCCTTCGCTGTCTTTGTCCTGAGAGCACTCCCTTAGTAAGTTGATACCTATATTTCTAGAAATCCTGACTTCAGACAAGAACTTTACAGAATCATCATTTTCTACAGATTGCTATCATATTCTTTCTTGGAGACAGAGTAAAAGGAAGTCATTAGCTAAGGACAGTCTTAGCTCCAAAGTATACAGGTGAGTGTTCTGGCACCTTAGGTGTCCTGAGAGCAGGGATTTGTAGCTGCAAACGTCTCCTACCTTTGGAAATGCGCAAGATACCCACTTGGCCAAGGCTTTGCAGCACTGGTTGCTGGGAGTCCTCATGGGCCCTAAGGACAAGACTTGCTGGGGTCACTGTGCATTTGTGCTTCTAACTGCCTTCTTATATTATTACACAGTAATAACCAAAGACACGATGAGTCTCCAAATAATTACTGTGGTGTGGTTTGCTCGGTTTTCTAATTTCTTTAGGGTTTCCAGCGAAAACATAAGACTTCTAGTTCCTAGTGAATTTCAAGTACACACCAAACAATATTTTAGAATAAGTCAGCCCCTTGGGATCCTCGGGCAGTGCAATTTTTAATGCACCGGACTGCTAATCACAGGACTAGAGGTTCAAGTCTATCCAGAGACACTGCAGAAGGAAGATTTGATGGTCTACTAAAATCCCACTGCCATTCATTCTGTTTTGGCTCATGACCACCCGGTAGGGCAGAGTAGATCAGCTCCCTAGAGTGTCCAAGACTGCAAATCTTTAAGGGAGTAGACAGCTTTATCTTCTTCCCAAGGAGTGCTGCCTGGGTCTGCACTACAAGTAATAGCCCAGTGCTTACCCCGTGTACCCCCAGGGCTCGTTACTTCGATCTGAAGCCTCCATTAAAAACTTCACAGAGCCCAGTTCTACTCGGACCCCCGTGGGGTCCTGCTAGTTCGAATCAACCACAGCTGGTTGGTTGGTTTCATTGTCTTACAAAGTCTCTGGAGTCTCTGGATAAAAACAAAGACTTAACACACTTGGCTATTAACTGAAAGGTTGGAAGTTCAAATCCATCCAGAAGAAAGACTGGGTGACCTATTGTTGCTATATCAGTGATGGAAAACCTTAGTGGGCACAGTTCTTCTCTAAGAGCCATACAGCTAGGGTCCCCAGGAGTGGAAGAGACTCAGCATCAACCGAAGTCCATGAAGAATTTGGGACACATTTACGCTGAGAAAATCACTTCTTGTTTATGTGAGGCATGTTTGACTTGTGTCCCGTGTTTCGTTTGACAAATTCTATAGCATATAATCTTGTCTGAGTGTCAGAATAAATGCTCTTGTTGGAATAGACTTGCTATCATCTTTTATAGTTCTTATCGGCACATCGAAGGCATTCCTCCTAAGAAGCATTAAAACAATGTTGTTGTTGTTTCAGCTGGATGAAATTGGCCTTTCTGACCAACACCAACGGTAAAATCCCGGTGAGAAGGTAAGTCTGGCGTTATTCGACTGCTCTGAGCCCTCCTGCACCCATTCATGCCTACATGTCCTTGCGAGTTTTTTAACACTTGAACTAAAAATATTCCTGGAAACTTGCTTAGAATTGCTTTCTCAAATGCTGTATTCAGTTTGCTGAAACCTTTTATGGAAGAAAATTGCTTCTGGTTTTCACTCAGAGTAGGTCATATTAACTACCCATTAAAATAAATTCAAGATCAGATGAAAATGTAGTGCTCTTTTTTTTTTAAATCCCAAAATTTAAGGGAGTTGCCCGTATTTATTTTTGCCTACTTACACAGAGCAACCACTAGCTAAAATTACCGAAGTTTACGGTGTGCTGACAGAGGCCCATTGTTGGGTGGTGCCAACAGTGCAGCGCTCAACTCTGAACCCAGAGGTTGGTGGTCCCAGCCCATCCGAGGCACCTCAGGAGAAAGGCCCCTGTCTCGAAAATCCTCTGGAGCCGTTCTCTGCACACCTCGTGGTGCAGTGACTCTGAATGGGAGGGCAGTGCTACGTGGCAGTGCCTTCTCATCCTGGGCTTTGTGCTGCTCCCGGGCCCAGGGCACGTGTGCTTTTTCTGTGGTTCCTCCTTGTCACTCTCTAGCTACACTACTACCTATCTGCCACACTCTTCAGAGTTGCCAAGTCTTCCCTCCCCATGCCCAAACTAAATGGGCTAAAGGAAATGAGGTAGGCGAGCCTAAGTGGCATCAGGACTGATGAACCCATGAACCAGTGTCTTCTTTAATTCTTACCCTGACCTATGGAAACAGTAAGTCCCAACAGTGAGTAGTGTGACCCCCGCATTGTTAAGTTAGGCCTATTTTTACACAGCTCACTGTCCTGCTTTTTTTTGTTCAGGAAATGAACAAGGTAGAAACATGTCGATTATGATCACAGCACTTGGGGTCATTTGCTCGGCATCCTACCCATCAAGCCATTGTTAAGACAAGCTCCGAAGCCTTTGCTGAGTCCACTGATCTTTATCGAGTGTGTTCTCATCCAAGGCGATCAGCACCTTCTTTGTAGAAATAACGAAGATATTTTGGCATCCTCGCTGGTTCTTTTTAGCATGGAACTCTTGGTCGCCTGCCCGGATTAACAGGTGTTTGACACAAGGCATCTGTCAACTTGGGAGCAAAAGTTGATGGAGAACTGATACCAAGCCAAAAAAAAAAAAAGGCAAATAAGTCTCTGTGGATGAGCTGCCAAGACCTAGGTGGAAATGATCTGAATATTTTAATGGATATGAAGAGTAAACACTTTGAAAAGGTTATTGTATCACTATCATTCTGTCGTTTTAAAAATGGAAACTGTTGCACATAATGTTGAAAGGGATCTAGCTTCACGACCATTGCATAGTTTAGGAAGGCCCTGCTGTTTGACAGTCTTCAAAATTCAACATCCAGGAAGTTGAAGAAAACTGTACTCCTTATCTCCCTCGTCTCTTTCCTTCCAAATCTATGCAGTCTACCTTTCTCGCAAATTAACAAACTCACATTCAATCTGTCCTCCCACTCAGAGCCAAGATTTTGCAAGGCCTTTGTTCTTCTTGCTATCTGTAACATGGAGTGGAAACTAAGGGGTAAACAGGGCTGAGAAATGGGCAGGCAAGCCATAGCTGTGGGCTGTGGCTGAAAGAGGCCAGGAAGGAGGGGGCCCGGTTAAAGAAGACCAAGCATCTCAGGTATGGTCATGGCAGCCCAGGCCCTCATACTCATCAACTTCTTAAACGCCCTGCTTGCCTGTGAGGAAGGTCCAGTTCCACCGACAGTAGCCCCACCAGGCCCTTCACAGGAGAAAAAAATAGAACCATCTGCTCCCGTCAAGAGATCAAAGTCTCAGAAACCCTATCTAGGGTGACTGTGTGTGGGATTTGGCTCAGTGGCAATGAGGATGCTTTTTCTCATAGTATTGGACAGGACTCAAAGGTATCTATAGTATTTCCTTTGGAGAATGGGAAGTGATTTGTGCAATTAAAACTCACTGAGCACTGCTCAGAGCACCAAACGGAACGTTTTTGAGCATGAGATTATATTGAAAGTGTTGAATAAGTCAGTCCTTTATAAACATTCCACATTCCCATGAAACTCAACCCTGACGTCTACAATGTTGTCCATTTGGCTTTCCCTTAGGGCCCAGGCTACTGGGCACTCTGTTGGGCCTTTGAGGGAACACAACCCTGGGAAGGCAAGCCCCCAAAGTGATTTTGAAATCTGCCTGATACAAAGGAAAGATAGACACCCCCCAGAAAATGGTCGATTTGACTTCTTTTCTCCCAAATTTCATCCTGGGTTTGACTTCCTTTAGAAAGTTTGGTGAGATTCCCAAGTTGTGTCCCCTCACGAGAAAGTGGAGTGAAAAATAATGGTCCACCTCTGCCACAGTACTACTTCTGACTTTAGCCTCTTCGTGTGGCCTCACTGGTTTACAACTTCATGGATCTCCTGCCTGTCCTAACACTGAACCAAGCCCTGCACACACCTTTCCTCGGACCTCCCCAACGCCTCGTGTGTCTCCTCCCCGGTTCAGTTACACCAGAAAGACCGGCCCTTTACCTGTGGCATTTGTGACCATCTTGACCAGTTTTCAGCTTGTTAGAACAGGGCTGGCCAAACCTGTCAAGCAGAAGCTGGACCTAGCTGAGGTACCTTTGAGTTACTTTGGAAAGATTTTCCTCCTGATCACAGGTGCTACACAGCCCCAATCCTACTGGATGTCTGTAGCTTTCATGATAGCACATGTATATGTTTTAATAAAGACACACTAAGTAGCTACTTTGCATTAAATTAAAAATCAGATAAATTATAACTCATTCCAATCAGATATATAAAACTTCGCTAAGGTCTAAAAATGGTAGATCTAGCACCCTCTGAACTAGAAGTCACCTATAAACCAGTTGACTCAGCCCACACATAGATGCTCTGCTGTCCATAAACTGTGAGGGCAGTCATAGAGTTCCCTATATCTAAATACAACCATCTTGAGCATTCTTCAGAACGTACTTCCTTGGGCCTTCTATGAAGTCGTACTGCTTTGAATCAACACATCATGATTTATATACCTAGAGCAAGTTCTCCCACTCTATTTTGGGAAGTTGTAATCTGCCAGTTGAAGTGGTGCTTTCTCCCTCTCATCAAGATTAGCAGTGGTTAGTGCTTCCATTGGGAGTTTGCCTTCCCCTTAACATGGTGGCAGGAAGTGTGAGAAGGCTGTAGTAGAGAGACATTGCTAAAAATCCTCCGACAAGCACCGAGAAGGTATTCCAGGGCCAAGCTTCAGAGACAGATGTCAGCAATTCTTCAAGAGCAGGCTGGATTTCTGAATTTAGTGGTGAAATTATGCTGACGGGGGAATTAGGCTTTTAACCAAGAAGCGATCGGGGTTGCATTGTGTGGCAGAAGCACAGCTCAGAGCACAGTCGGGTTCCTGGGAACGGGGTTCAGTCTTGACTCACTCTTGCTCATTCTGACGGTCACCCATGCATCTGTAGGAAAGAATGTCGCTCTTACTTTGATTCTCACCAGGAGACACAAAGGGCCTTCAAAAAATGTGGGAAAATACCAGTGTCTTTTAATTCTGTTTTTCCCATGAACTCTTTGAAGCTCCCTTGCATGTCCGTTAAGGTGAATCCATTGACCAGCCTGATGCTTGTTAACTAGTTAAAAGGTAGTGCCATTATCTGAAAATGTCATGCCTCAGGGCAGTGCCAAGATTCTATTGAAACTTTCACTAGTTGCTCCCCTGCCCCTCCTACCTAGCCTTTCCATAATAAAACACCTTAGCTCTGAGCTTGGAAAAGGAAAATAGATCTGGTCATGTAGGACAACTATAGTGTGTGTGAGACTTAGGGAGGGGACAGGCAAGGGCATGAGTTGTGGCTTAAAAGGCCTCCGCAGCCCCGCCAATGATCCATAGTGAAGTTTTTGTTTGTTCCTTTGCACTAGAGCTGTGGTTCCGCCTACCCATTTTCCCCCTAAGGGGAAGCAGTATTGCCATCCAGTGGATTCTTGCTCATGGCGACCCCATGCGTGCCAGGGTGGCACTAAACCCCACAGGGTTTTCCATGCCTGAGTCCTCAGAAGTAGATAAACCACCCCCTCCAGCCTCTCGGTTAGCAGCCAGGCATGATGTCACCCACCGTGAACGCACTCAGGAACTGCTGGGAAGTGACTCAGTGGAATCCAAATGCACGATGGTTTTATCCAACAGGGTATAAATGTGTAGACTAGAGAAATTCAGAGACATTCATCTGTATAAGAAAGAGCTTTATATCAAAGTGTAATTGTACGAGGGGCTACCCCCCCTCCCCAAATGGAATTGCTTTGTGAGGAATGGAACTTTTGTAGTACTTATTTTTCCTACTAGGCAAGCATTGAACAACTCACCTTAAGTTAGGGGACCCAGTGGCATCTCCTGCGAAGGTTTTCTCTGGTCACAGTGAATTTTTTTTTCATAAAAGCAGTTTCACTCAAACCTCATTTTTTTGTGATGACTGATTTAGAGAACAGTGTCGGGCTGTGAAATTTTGTTTTCCTGCTTAAGAAAAACGGCTGCAGAAACTGTTGTGATGTTGAACACAGCTTACAAGGACAGCGCTATGGAACAACAAACCCGTGTATGAGTGGTTTTCTTGTTTCAAAATAAGGTGGACTGTCCATTGATGCCAAACCTCATTCTGGACATCGGTCAATTTGCCGAACAGATGAAAATGTCGACTCTTAGTGCATTTGGAGTTTGTTCCACCAGGTCAGACTGTTAGTCAAGTTTTCTATTTAAAAGCTCTAAAAAGATTGCATAACAGTGAGTGACCAAAAAAGGCCCGATTTGTGGCAGACAGGGGACTGGTTTTGCCACCATGACAATGCACCTGTTTACGCAGTCATTTCAGTATGCCAGTTTTGGGCAAAAAACCAGTATGCCTCTCTTGACTCATTCACCTTTCTTGCCTGACCTCGTTCTGTGCAACTCCTTTTTGTTTCTGCAAACGCAGAGGAACATGAGAAGAGTGATTTGGTGATGTAGAAGAGGTGAAGAAAAATATGAGGGAGGTGTTGTCAGCCATCCAAATAGATGTGTTTGAAAAATGTTTCCAAGAATGGAATTACAGATATGAAAAATATACCAAGTGTAATGGACAGTACTTTGAAAGGTGATAAGGTTGTTTTGTAAAAAAAATTTAAATACATAGCTTTGAAAAAAAAGGTCCTTTTTGGGGTGTGGAGGTTACCCCCTCGTATATTAAGAAAACATCCCAGCCCAGTCCAGATCACATTCAGTATTAGCCCATAAGTCTGATACTCGTCCCTAAATCCCTCTTCAGAGTCACACAGCACATGCAATGATGCAAAATGCAGGAAGATCACAGGCCGGTGGGTGCAAAGTCTTGTAGATCCAGTGGCGGTGGACACATGTCCAGGGGCTCTTGCAGGTCTCATCGTGGCTCCAGGTGGCTTGTCAACAGGAAGGTGAAAGCCGAGAGAGATGGTTGGGCGTGGGGGAGGGGAACAGGCTCCAGCCAGTCATCTATCCCAGTCACCCTCAAATAAAGCTGCAAACTGATTGACAGGCTACGTTCCTTCCGTATGTTCCCACAGGAGCTCTGTTGACCCCCAAAATTAACTCTCACAGTAACTTCAGATGCTCGTTTGTTTTCCCAAGTTCCCAGGGGAACTGCTTATCTTAACATCAAGTTGGTTTAAAAAAAAAAAAATCGAGTTGCCTTATAGACAAAGCCAACATTAGTGACAGGAGCTAGTTTGGGAAATGAAAACCACCAAGAATTGAAAAGTAATTCCATTCTCTGTTTCCTTCTCCCCGCAACCGTTGTCCCTAGCATCACTCAAATCTTGGTGTCAGAAAAATCAGAATGTGCAGTAACCTAAATCTTTTTTTCCCCTTTTATTTTTTTCTTTTCTGCCCTAGTATTACTAGAACCTTTGCATCAGGGAAAACAGAAAAGGTGATCTTTCAAGCTCTCAAGGAATTAGGCCTTCCCAGTGGAAAGGTATTCCTTCATTTAATTGTGTGTTTCTGAAACCGCTTTGTTCATTTATGTCCTTACATGTAAGGAGCCAGCTTGTTGATCTTAAGTTCATCTTAATCTGAACCTGTCACATATAGTAAAGTTAATTTCCTCACCCCCTGGTCCTCCTTTTTCCTCCTCTCTCCCTCCCACCCTCCACCCTTCTTTTTGTACTCTGGACAATTTCACCCAAATATTTTTGAATTCAGCTAGTGTTAATTTACATATTTGTTTGGTCCACTGAATTAAGAAAAGGCAATGAACGTTAGGCTCCCCTTTTCTACAACTCACAGAGATGATTTTAGGGAATCCTAGCAACCCAGCCTCCAGCAAGCAGAAAGTCAGTGTGTTAGGCTGAGTTGATTAAAGAAAGAAATACAGTAATATTCATAACGCATAAGAAAGAGCTTTATATCAAGAAGTAAATATATGTCAAGAAAGCATCCCAACCCAGTCCAGCTCATCTATAAGTTCAATACTAATCCATAAGACCCTTTTCAGACTCACGCAGCCACAGGGAATGATGCAGAATGCAGGAAGATCATAGGCCAGTAGGTGCAGAGTCTCTTGGATCCAAGGCAGGGCTCCAGCAGCTCTCAGAGTGGCCAGCAAGTAGGCAGGTGAAGGGGGAAGAGAGAGGAAGAGAGGTTCCCAGGGCTCTCCTTATGAGAAGGCCACGCCGCAAGGAGGCACCGCCGGGCTGTGACCTGATTGACGGGTTGGAATGCACCCATATGCTTTCATACAACTTCAAGGTGGCCTAAAATCATCTAACTACCACAGTCAGCATCAGTGAGAACAAATGAATGCAGTTCTTCAAGGTCGCTGTAGACTTATGAGGTAGGTCTTCCCAAACAAACCATGGTGTTCACGACCCTGGGAATTTAAATAATTGAAAATAACATAGTGACGGCAAGAAAAATTCAGACAGGCCACTCCTGGAACCTGCCCTGTTGAAATATAATCTCCCATATGGAAGGCATATTTTCATCTAGCTGTCCTAAGCTACTTCATGTGGTCTTGGGAAAGCTTGCCCAGAGTGCATGTAAAGATGGCGTGTGAGTTGGTCACCACCCATTAGTTAGGCTGCTAGTTCTTTTCCTTCAGGAAGAAAAGGAGGACCTATTTCTCTGTGTTTGTTGTGGGGGTGTTCTCCATAGCAAGTCTGCCTGTCGCCTGAGGTTTGCAAGCCCAGACCTTGACTGTGCAGTGGCCAAAAACGTATGGACGCTCCTGTTCTAGCAGGGTGCTGACCTGTGAGCCAAGATCTAGGTGACTTCCTGGTTTCTGTCAGCTGTAATCTGGAGTGGAGGTACTGGGACCCCAGGAGAAATGCTTCATGGCCTTTCCAAGTCTCACCTTCCAGGAGAAAGTGTTTCCATGACCGATGACACTGTTATTCCTTGCAGAATGATGAGATTGAGCCTGCAGCCTTTACTTATGAAAAGTTTTATGAACTGACCCAAAAGATTTGTCCTCGGACAGATATAGAAGATCTCTTCAGAAAAATGTAAGTTCCATTTATGAGCGAGTATCCCGTAAATGTTATTGTTGCCCTTTTAGAGTTTAAAAACTTTTTTTTTTAATCATAGGATTGCAAGGTAGTCTCTTCGTAGTAGCTAGGCATCTAGGCTAGTCAGGCTTCCTTACATTTTCACCCCTTAGCTGATCAGTGTAAAAGTTCGCTCTTTGGGTTCTTGAGAAACTTTTACATAAATTCATGGCAGCCCCTGGAATTCTCCCCACCCCTGCATTGGCTTTACTAACGACCTACAGTTTTAACCCGCTCCTTTAGGTATTAACCCAGTCTGTGAACTAACTAGATTCAACATGGAATGTCCTTAGGTTGTTGAAAAGTTCATTCATTCCAATGATTTCAGATGGATGACTTACATGTTGTTTTTTAAATAACATCTTTTAATCAGGCTAAAGTAGAATTGTAGACATTTTTCCCCTTGAGAACTAGTAGGCGGGTTTTCTTTATTATTGGAGTTTTTATTTTATTGTTTTGTTGGGGGGTTTTGTTTTGTTTTCCCCTTACAAACAGTCTCTGGCCACTTTAAGAATGCACCACTATTCAGGGTTAGACAATAAGTCTTAGAAGTTACCGTCAACATGTAAATCGTACCTGCTGTCGCACCATATACAAAAACTTACTTTGTCTAATACATTTCTTTTCAGCAATGGAGACAAAACTGATTATTTAACGGTAGACCAATTAGTGAGCTTTCTAAATGAAGTAAGCTTTTTCATACATTAACTCCATCCAGTCTGTGTGCAGTGGCTTGCCTCCTCTAGTGTTCTCATTGCATGCCCCCGTCCGTCCATCTGTCCATCTGTGGCATGCCCTCATTTGCTGCGCTGCCACCAGCTGTGTCCCGTATGGCCTTACCGGGTGCAAGAATCGTGGCTGTCCTTGTGTGTCCTTCTGCTTCCTACATATTGGCTTTGTACACTGCTTTTTGTTGGTTTCTGGCTGTTTGTGCAGCTCTGCCTCTGTGGATGTGTGGATTCTGAAATATCTTCATTTCAGTAAATGTGTCTTATGCTTTGGCAAGATGATGTTCAAGGTTCTCCCCGCTCCCCGCCCTCCTCTATTGATCTCCTTAAATAGAGAATGGATTGAACTTGTGGCACTGTAATTGAATTCTCCTTTGCTAACTTCTTCTGAGAACCATTGCATGGACTAGAAAGCCTCATTTTTGTGTTTCTTTGCTTTTTATTCTTTTAGTGGATTGCATGAAAGAATAAAATATATGTAAGTTTAAATGGATTATTTGGACAACAAGCAAAACACTTTGAATTCCTGGGTGAAAGTATGGCATATGATCAGCCAATTGGATTGCAAGTTACATTTTTACTTTTTATTTTTATAACAAGCTTAAAGCTAAGTTTAGAATATGATTCACTTAACAACCAAAACTGGTTGACAAAATTGGCATAGGCCCAAGAGAAAAAAATATTTTGTAACAACTAAAATTAACCTCTTTTTCCTGTGTCCACATAAAAACATGTTTTCTCTTCAGTGAAACCCACTGAGGCTCTGTTGACCCAGAAAGAAGGCCCCCTGATTTTCAAGCATTAATAATTAGGAGTTAATAATTAGGAGAGGTTGAGTGAGCGAGAGACAATATTTTAAAAATAATTTCTATACCCGTTAGACCGCATAAAGGGAAAACAGTGGAAAACAGCATCGTGCTAGACACACAGGATGTTTCCAGGAAAGACAACAGGCAGACTCTGCTTTGCCATTTGATAGAGACAGATCTGTTTTGTCAAAAGGCTCTTTTCTTTCCTCTAAGAACTCAGAGGCTCCCAAAGTATAGGACTGCACTTGAACAGCTATGATACCCAGAGTCCAAACACACTGAATGCAAGACACAAGGTATTCCTGTACCCGCCCCGATGCCTTCACGTTGCAGTACTCCCTTCAGGACAATAGTTATTGTATTTCAAGGCATCTCAAGGTTTTCCGCTCTACTAGTTTCTAGTCATGCACTTCCCATGTGCCTAGTCTTTCCCAGATATTATCCACAGTCTTATGCCACAGTTGCTCAAAAGTAAAATGTCCTTGCTTTCTTCCCTTAAATGCTTGCCCCTCCTCTGCTTTTTAATACCCCCCACCCCTCCGTTTTATTTTCCTTAGTTTCTTCATGTACTTTGGATCACTGATCACCTCAATTTGGGCAAGATGGGCAGGAATCCTGCTAAATAGGAATGCTACTAAACCAGAAGGCACTTCAGTGGAGAGGAGAAAATCTACCACAACATCAGTTTATCAATTCTATTTTTTTACAAGGCTCCTGTGTGTTCTGGGTTGGAACTGGTGCTCAATGCACACTGCCACTGAGTCCATTCCACCTCCTGTCGCCTCCCTCTAGACAAAGCTGCCGGGCTGGCAGATCTTGAAGGAAGCAGACATCTTCCTCTTTCTTCCATGGAGTACCCACTGGCTTTGAACCACTGACCTTGCCATTGAAGCCCAACACTGAGCTCATAATGCCATCAAGGTTCCTTTGTGGAACATGACAGAGATGCTAAAGCTACAGGTCTCTGCTCAAAGAAAGAACCATTTCTGAAACCACGAGGATAAAAGTTGCCTTCCTGGTCTCGTATGCCGGGTCTTTCCTTTGTAGGTTGTCTTGTGGGCCCATCCAATAAATAACCACTCGTAGAGTGCGTGTTTTTTTAAAGACATGACATTTAGCCTTTAAGAAATATAATCACCTATATCATATAATTGCTCTGTCACTCACATTATTTTCTAAAATACTCAAAATCAGTGCTCATGGAAGCAGCAGTCAAGGGATCAAACAATGTGTTGCATTAGGTATATTTCTGCACAAGCCCACTCTCTGTCTTGGAAGCAGTAAAGCCAGAGTGCTCTTTAAAGGCAAGGATGGTGAAACGTCCTCTTACATCCTTGATCCATGTTGTCAGGAGGGACCAGTCCCTGGAGAAGGACATGATGCTTGGTCCAGGAGAGGGGCCTTGGCAAGATGGACGGACACCATGGCCTCAGCAAGGAGTTCCAGCAGAGGAACCACTGTGAGGCTGGTGCACAGAGTCGCTGTGGGTCAGAAGTGACGGAATGGCACCTCACAATAACAATTAGTCGTCAAGTCTCTTCTTAGTAAGAAAAAAGCTTGGTGAAGTCAGCCAACTGATGGACTGGACAGAATGTGAGTGTCTCCTTGAAGAAGCTCTGTCCAATAGAAAGAAAATTCTGCTAACTTTTGGTCCCCTGTCTGTTGACTCCTCCCTTGGCCCTTCTTAGCCCTCCAAAATCAAAAGCAGCACATAGGCAGCGTCACCCCCAGACCCTGTAAGGAAAGGACACGGAGCGCGTGCTCAGGAAGGAAGTGTCTATAATGGCAAAAGCTAAGGCTTACGCATGAAAAATAAAATGTGCATGCCATGCAATCCCGATAAAACAGAATCTAACAAGATCCCAGAAGTCCTGGATCATGCGACCTCCAAGGAATCCTTGCCATCAAGTCCACTGGGACTCAGCCACCCGTAGGACAGAGTGGAACTGGCCCTCTGGGTTTCTGAGACTGTACATCTTCACTGGAGTAGAAAGCTTTGTCTTCTTGGCACAGAGAGACTAGTTAGTGGTTTTGAACCACTGACCTAGTGGCTAGCAACCCAGTTCAGACCCCACTGGGCCACCAGGACTCCTCAGATCATATGATTATCCAATGAAAAGTTAAGTCCCATGACTCTTTGAGACGCCAAGGCCGTTTTCTCATAATTTGAAGATGATGGTGATTTACTCTGAAGGCCAAAAAGAAGCACTAGAAAGCTCTTGGGATTAATAAGACTTAGACAACCTTGTTGATTGACCAAGAAATGGTGGTCACCGCAGAAACGACCACCCACATCAGTAAATCACTTCTCCGCCACCTGCACTGCCTTGGAGCCCTTTCTGACCCAGTGACCATCCAGGGTGGAGGGGAGCTGCTCCGTGGGGTCTTGGAGGCTGTGAATCTTCAGAGAAGCTGACTGCCTCGTCTTTCTCCCTCAGAGGGACTAGGGGGTTCAAACCGCTGACCTTTCAGTCCAGTACTTAACTCAGTGGCACCAGGGCTCCTAGGTACCCTATACACCAGCATGAACCAGTTCAGATAAATAAATGGTAGGGGGAAAAAATCCCATCTTTATTAGCAAAAGTTACAATAGTCTTCTACCTTCCACCTTCCAGTTTATAGCCCCCTTTGCTATTAAAATTTCCACTCTTGATCGCCAGGAACAGAAAAGGAGAGGAAAGACAACTGACCATTGACACATCCTCCTTTTTGTGCTGTCAGCACCTCCCGTCTTTTCAGTTAGAGCTTTAGACCCACCTCCTCAATGGTTTTAGTGTTTCCCCGTTGATCACTCCCCAGAGTGACCTGTGGACCTGCAGTGCCAGGACCACCTGGGATCCTGTTAGATGCAGTCCTGCTCAGGCATGCTGGTTCATATTATGCATTTAGCAAGGATCTTTCAGGTGGTTCGTGTACATATCACAGTGGTGAAGCATTTTCCTAGTGGATTATCTGGCTCTTACTGGGATTTTCAATATGAATAAGTATAATACAGAGGCAGTAGATGTATTCTGTTATGCTCTATAGAGAATTTGATCGTGGAAATCTATCTACCCCTGCCAAATCTCTTTGCCCCCATGCAATGGGCTGAAGAAAACTTTCTTGGCCCTACATCATGAAAACAGCCAAGTCAAGTCTAGTATGATGCAGGCACTTAGGCGCCTCCAGGCGGTGGAGGCCACTGGTCATTCAGCTGCCTGAATGTGGAAGGGTTGATTAAATTCTCTGGGCTTCCATTCGTTTCCCCTCCTTTTGCTTGTTCCTAGTGAGAAGCTAGAGGAGTACTGGAGGCATAGTGGTTAGACACAAGGCTGTTAACCGCAAGGTCGCCAGTTTGAAAGCACCAGTTCTACCCTGCCCTTAAAGGTTGCCGTGAGTCAGAATTGACTCGATGTCACTGAGCTCGTATTGAGTTAGTGGGAAATGGCAGTCGTTTTTTCGTATAAAAATTCTAGCTTTGTGACTAACACATCGTGCCGTTTGTCCCCTTGCCTGTAGACGATGCAGATTGCACTGTTACCATTTTGAAATAGGAATACTTTAGGGAACACCAGGATGATTTTATCTGGTAGAGCAGACACAAAGGCAATTGCAATTTCCCTTAATACTCATTTGCTATGAATGTATTTTTTTAGAGTAGGGCGTTATGATACATCCATTTTAAGATTTAGAAACTGGACCAGACTAAGAAGAGTGTGGCATCAGGATTGGAGGAAAGGTCATTAACGTGCTGTGTTATGCAGATGATACAACCTGGATTGCTAAAATAAAAAGGACTTAGAGCACTTACTGATAAAGATCAAAGACCATAGCCTTCAATATGGATTACAATTCAGTGAAAACAAAAAGCCTGGGCTAATGGACAAAATTATGATAAATGGAAAAGATTGAAGTTGTCAAGGATTTCCTTTAACTTAGATCCACGATCAATTCTCATCAGTCAAGAAATAAAATGACATATTGCATTGGGCAAATACATTACAGAAGATCTCTGAAAAGAAGTGGAAAGCTTATGACCCACACTTACTGGGAATTCCTTGTTCATGGAGAATAATTGCAATCCCCGATCCCCATCATGAATGGGTTTCAGTGGGTTACCTCCACCTGCGTACGGTAGGCACATGCTGAGCCAGTCAGTGTAGGGTGTGTGCCCAGTCAGTGTAGTTCTTTAATGCTTCCTCCCCCCCACTATCAGGACCTCAGTTCTACCTTACAAATCTGACTAGACCAGAACATGTACATTGCTACAGGTAAGAGCCTGAAACACAGGGAATCCAGGACAGATAAACCCCTCAGGACCAATAGTGAGAATAGAGATATCAGGAGGATAAGGGGAAAGTAGGGGGCAAGAGGGGGAATCGATCACAAGGATCGACATATAACCCCTCCCAGGGGGATGAACAGCAGAAAAGTGAGTGAAGGGAGACACAGAATGAAGTCAGCTATGAAAATAATAATCTATAATTTATCTAGGGTTCATGAGGGAGGGGAAATGAGATGCTGATATCAAGGGCTCAAGGAGAAAGAAAATGCTTTGAAAATGACGATGGCGCCATAGGTACAAACGTGCTTGACACAATGGATGAATGTATGGATTGTGATAAGAGCTGTAAGAGCCTTCAATAAAAGTCTTTAATAATAATAAAAAAGAAGTACAAAGCAAACTTTGTCATTTTGAGGTCTAAGGTGTATCTAAGCCAAGTCATGGTGTATTCAGACACCTGATATGCATTTGAAAGCTGGACAGTGGATTGGAAAACCCAGAGGAGAATGGGTGCATTTGAACAATGGGGCAGTGAAGAATATCAGAAGTACCGTGGACTGCCCGAAGAAAAGGCAAATCTGTCTCGGCAAGATTGTAGCCAGAATTCTCCTTTAGAAGCAAGGAAGTTGAACTTTATCACTTGTGCTTTAGACATGTTCTAAAGGCTTTGGAGAAGGACGTCATGCTTCCTAGTGTAAGTGAGGAAAAGAAGCCCTTCAATGAGATGATTGGCAGAATGGCTGCCACGGGTTCAAACACAACCACCATTGTGAGGATGATGCAGTCCAGGCATCGTTTCCCTCTGTTGTCCATAAAGTTACAATGAGTTCGGACGGACGCAGCAGCACCTAACATCAGCCATCGTAA